GTACTTAACAAACAACCTGCACCATACCTTCCTACAAAAGTACTCTGTTGCCAAAAGTTCCTCAACAACCTGCTGGAGCCAAGTTTCATTTATAGTCCCAGTCTCTTTGAAATATTTGCTATCTTTCATTTAGTGGATTCTGTTTATTTAATACTGTAAGTTCTTTTCTTCCTGTAGATTCATCTTTCCAATACAGAATGCTTGACACGTATTCAAAAAGGTGACTTTTGTCTTTATGGGAAAAGAAGCTTACTGAATAGCCAAAGGATGTCTCGTACAGGAAAGCCACATAAATGGTGCACGAAGCTGTGAGAATCAAGCTATTAAATAGGAGTGGAGGGCTCCGGAACTGCCACAGACTTCCAGACCTTACAGGGAATACTGAGAACCACAGCACATTTGAGAGGAATTGAAATTCTCAGCAAAAGAACAGAATCTGTTCACCCTTAAATTCCTAATTAGAGAACTCATAGTGGGAAGTGGCCACTTAAGTGATGAGCACTGAAAATCAAAGAAATCACCTTCTCTAAGAAATGGACAAGTGCCTACATTCATAAATTAACATCCTAATTTACAATACAAATTGTAATGATAATAGTTTCAAATTGCCATCTTATTTTTTACATATATTATTTAGTTTCTCGCCAAGAATTCAGATAGAAGGGTGCATTCAAAGGGGAAGTAAGGCCAAATACAGCTGAGAAAACTCTCCTTACAAATTGTATTGATTCAACACTGGAAACTACAGCTTTAACTATTTTAGATATGTCCTACAGACTAGTGTGCTGAGTAAATATTTGGCTCACTTACATTAATTTGAAAATGTCATTCATTTCTGCACAAGTTTTCATAGCTGCCAGTATTTGAACCTAAAATAAATCCATACTTTATATTTAGATTTTGGTATGTATAAATCTCTGTGGTATAAAAATGCATAACATATATATGGTCAAAATATAGATGGTTAAAATACAAAATTAATTGGTCCTAAAATTCTTATTTTTTGTTTTAGCTCTTTTGTTTTAGACATTGCAGTACTAAATTTCTCCTAAGGAGCTATGTATCATCATTCACAGGAATATATAATCTTAAGTGTAAAATGTGCTAAAGCATTAGAAATAATATACAGTTATACTACTGTGATGTAATTCAGTTTTGAGTGTGACAAGTAACTGGCCTACAAAAATAATGTCAAAATAAGAGGTTAGTGAAAAAAAGAAGGATCTGACTCCATAGTCCTTTAACAGTCTAAGAGCTTACTGAATCTAAACACGTGGACCTGAGAATGAACAAAAAGCATGTTTGGATTTAGGAAGCTAAAGTGGTGCTGTCCTTTAGATTCTCATTGTTATTAGTTGTGACCATCCAGTAAGGAGCGCAGAGAAGTTGCTTTCACGTTGATAGTGAGATGCATGCTGTCTGCTAGCTTGGAAATACAGTCCTGATGCCAGTTGTATAAGAAAAATTAGAATATTTAGGGAAATGTTACTACTTTTGTGCAAATAAAGTCATGGTACAGGGATGCCAGAAACAAACTAAAAACGAGGGAGACATCTTTTCTAGATAATGAGAAATTAAACAGAGACACAACTAATTAAACAATTCAAACATTAATTAGTTGCATTTTGAAAGGCAAAGCCCTGGCTGAGGTCAGACAGTGATAGCAGTAAGATGAAGACTAGCTAATTTTGGAGACAATTTTTACATTATTTGGAGAAACTACCCATATATTTTGCTAGTAGTGAGAGCAGGGAATATTTTTAACTCTTGCCTAAATATTTACACCACTTTGACTCAAATTTAGCCACAATTACAGTGTAATTTGTTAAAACATCTTCCTTTTTCTATTAACAATTTCTTGCCTACACAGATTCATAAATAGTCTACTTATTGAAAAGACTCCAGATATTTTTTCCGTAGGCACAATGAGACAAAAGGCAAAAAACCGGCACACCCCACTGACTTTTAGGTTATATGGAACACATTAGTAAGCCAGGGCAGACTTTCAAAGAATATCTCCAGCCTGAAACTTATGCAGATTACAGCTTCATAAATTTCTCATTTAAAATAATAATGTAAAAAACCAAGTGAATTGTCCACATAGGGGTTTTTTTTCCCCTTTAATCTTAATAAGAGAAAGAACTTAATAAGAATTCTCTACTCTAACTACAGCGGCATTCACAAACAATTGCATAGGATTTCTCACAAGCCCTTACTTGTGACTGAATAGCATCTCACTGCACAAGTAGCTCCATTGAACTTCACTGAATGGCACTCACTGAGAATACTCAGATAATACCCTGTTCCATAAATAATTACATCAGTACTTGATGTAATCAAGTTACTTGGCTTCAGTAACACTGTGAAGGAAGGTGCTGTTCATATCTCAGCAGGGATATTAGAATCGAGATCCTGAGCATTTCTTCAGTAAAAGAGAGAATGAACTGTCACTGTCTTGTCATTCCCACGAGCTTTTTGCATCCATCTGCTCTAATAGTTCATTCTTCAGTGAGGCTGACTTGACTGCTTTGTCTTTTCCAAACATGAGACAGATTCTCCCGATGAATCTTCCAAAGGCAGCAGCAAGTCTTCCAAACAGATTCATTAGAAAGGACCACCTATAGAGCTCTGAATGTGACCAGCTGAGGACTCAACAACATTTTTTGAAACTACAAGCAAACGAGGCCAGGATCTACACGTTGACCAGCCTCACACTAGTAAGTATAGGCTCCAGAATGCAAAGGGATATTGCCATGCTCTCCAGCAAAAATCCATTCACAGAGCCCTGGGTTTGATTTATTCTCTACCAGAAATACTTGATGGTAAGAGCCAAACAGTCCAACCCAGTTCTTCTCTCTCACCAAGCCACTGGAACCATCCACTGGTAGTATGCAATAATTTATTTTGTACTTTCTGGGAAAAAGACCCCAACCACAAAAGGAAATAATATCAGAATTCTAACAAAATATTTGTTTCTATGAGCTAATGCTATCACAGTATAGCATATTTAGTTATGGAGAGATACTCAAAGAGAAACATATTCAAATGAAATCTGATCAAATTAATTTAATAACCTGCACAGGGTATTCATGCTTGGGAACAATCATGCTCTTGGACACACTGAGCAGTCTAGCTCATGAGTCTTCAGAATGATGCACCATTGAGAACAATTAATCCATCACATCTAGAACAGGGGTCCTCTTCAGGTCAGGTTTGAAAACAATAATGTATCAGTCTAGAGAAACAAAAAGTAGCCGCATTTATACCTCATGTGTGAGTAAAAGACCTTTTCCTACCCTGCCAGATTCTTCTAAATGCATAAATATAACCTACAGATGCACATTATATAAAATCATCTTATTTCTAATAAGATGCTACATGAAATTATTAAAAAAGAGATTTCATTACAAAAGTTACGTTTATGTCTTGCATTGCTTCCAGTGTGATAGGCTTGGAACAGGGAAGTTCTTTCCAAAATTGAATTGAGTTGTATCATATTATTTGATATTATATCATGGTATACTTGATCTGTTCTCAAACTCATATAAAACCACCTGCTATTTTTTTCCTTTAGACAGCCTTGGGAATACCTTTGATTTTAGGAAACAGGTTGGCAGTGTAAGAAAGACATTATGAAAACTTATCAAAAGTTTTATGACAGGCCATTCTTTGCCGAACTAGTATAAGAGAATTATATTGGACTAAGTACCCTGTTTTTAGAAATAGGTTAGTTTAAAAGCAACATTAAAATGCTATTAAGGCCCTTACAAGGATCATACATTTTAACTGAAGGTCAGTTACAGTCATCGCATTTATAGTGGAACCATTCCACGGTATTTTCTGAAAGGAAGTAAAAATATTTTTCACGTGATAAAATTTTAAAAAGTAGTTTTTGCTAACTAGCAGAACTTGGTACGAAATTGTTTTCACTCCGAGTAACCTAACCCCGATCTTTGTTTATAGAGATGCATGGTTTCAGATGCAGCACCACCTATTGGGTGACAAATGTAGGTTAGTGCCTACTTTATCATCACAGACCTATTGTAAGACTGGTTTTGTACACAAGGAGCTGAAGCTCCCAAGTTCCTCATATTGAAATACAAGCAGCCAACTAGTATTATCTAGTGATCTATTCGATAAAACCTTATAAATTCAAAACGATCATCCAGTAAGATACAAGCCCCACCACTGAAGCTCCTAGTATTTGAGAAAGTACTGAAGAGAGCACTTATAACAGCATCAACTCACTCATGCCGCTTATAATGTAAAACAGAGCACTGCATGATTTTTAGGATGCATTCCAGTTGCACAGATCTGCATGAGCTGAAAATGAATTTGGTTATGTAAGCAGTCCCACTAAAATCTATATATGAATCCATATTCTCTATGCGTGGTCCCACGTGAATGAACGACTCGTATTTCGCATGGTTTAGAGCAATCACCGACGTTGCCTGTTCTCGGAGAACGAGCATTTTTTTGGAGTGAAATTTTGCACCAGCCCCGGTTCTCTTCGGAACTGCTCATGAGAGAGCCTAAAGTAACATCTCACATCCCACGTCCCCGGAGAAGCTCGATGTCAGCACTGCTGGGCAGGGATTCTCTCTCTCTCTCCTGTCACCGGCGCACACCCGCTCCCTCCCCCGCCGGTGCGGGCAGTCTGGCGGGACCGGACCCCAGCGGAGGGCTCGGCGGGGAGAGGCTCGGCGGGGCGCGCTGGGGCAGCCGGGGCAGGGCGGGCTGGGGAGCCCCCCCAGAGCAGCCCGCCGCCGCCGAGGGTGGCGTGGGGTACCGCGCATCCGCGGAGCCCGGCGGCTGAGGTAAAAGGGGTAGGGGAAACGCTCCCACCCGTGGTGTCGACAGGGTGTTTTCACGATGTTGAACAGCCAAGGACTGCGCCTGCAGCTCTAAGCAAAAGGGATGAGAAGGAGCAAAACCCACCGGAGCCCGAGGAGAAAAGTTGTTCCGAAGCCCAAAGATGAATTCATGCAAAGATCACTCACCCACTCTGAGGATACAGACGAGGTGGATGCAGGCAACCAAGCGCCCGAGAATGAGCATGTCCAAATCGTTCCTCGTCTCCTCCCGACTGCCTGCCTGCCTGTCTGCCTGCCCAGATGCCTCTCAACCTCCTGCCCGCCCGCTGCCTCCGCGGGCTGATGCACCTCTCGCCCGCGGGGAGCCGGCTCCGCGCCGCGGCCGCGCCCGGCGGCCGCCCCCACGCCGCGGGCGGGCGGGATCAGCGGCACTGGGAGCTGGCAGGATCGGCGGCACTAGGAGCTAGCAGGATCGGCGGCACTGGGAGCTGACGGGGGCCGCGGCTCCCTCAGCGCATGGCGAGGGCCGCGAGCGGCTGCGGGGGAGCGCGCGGGGCTTGCGGTGTGCCCGGGTGTGCGGGTGCGTGTGCGCGGGTGTCCGCTTGATGTGTCTGTCGCGCGCGTGTGTGTATGTCGTGTGTGTATATCGCGTGCGTGTGTGTGTGTGTGTATCGTGTGTATGTCGTGTGTGTGTGCGCGCGGGGGGGCGGAGACCGCGCTGGGCGGGCGCGCACGCGTGTGCGCGGTGTAGGGGGGGCGAGTGTGTGTCGGGGTGTGTGTGTCGGTGTGTCGGTGTGTGTGTGTCGGTGTGTTGGTGTGCGCGTGTCGGTGTGTGCGGGTGCGGGTGTATGTGTGCGGGTGTATGTGTGCGGGTGTGCTTGCGGATGTGTGTGTGCGGGTGCGGGAGGTGTGTTGTGCGCGGGCTACTGCGACGGCGCGCCCCGAGGGCAGGAGGGTCAGACCCCCCCCGCCCCGTCAACCGGCTGGAGAGAGGGAATGGGGGCCCGGGAGGGGTTCACGCCACCGCGACCAGAGCGTGGCCGCGGGATCGAGAACCCCCACCACAGCTCCGGCGTTTGCGGGGGGAGAGCGGCTCCGCGCGGGGACAGCCCCTGGGACACCGCCAGCGTCCCCTCGGCGTGGGAAGAAAAGTTTATTTGGAGGCGGAGGCAGGGAGGGGGAGTGTGGGGTTCTTGGGGTCTCGGAGGTCAGCGAGGTGCGGGGCTGGTCGGTGCGACCCCGGGGACGCGGAGCCCAGCAGCCCCCCGGGGAAGAAGCTCCGTTCGGGAGCGATGGCCTCGGGGCGGCTCCCCACCGCGGCGCTGCCGTGGGAACGGGCGCGGGGCATCGGCGGGGCTGCGACCGCAGCCGCCTGGAAGGTGATGCCGTTCACTGGCTGCTCCCCGCGCCAGGAAGCGGAGGAGATGCGTGATCCCTGGGAACTGGAGGGTCAGCGGGGGAAGGGGCTGGAGCGGCGGAATATCATTATTTGCCGGAGAAGTGGGTCAGGACGCAGGCACTGGCACCGTTTCTGCGGGAAGTCAAAACAAGACCAGAAAGAAAAGAATGCAAACCCCACCAAAACTAGAAGTGAAAAATGAAGGCAGACAAACACCAGATCCCACGTGGTGGGAAATGCGGGAGGCGGGGCCGACACTGGGCCAGGGGGATGCAGAGCGACACGACTGGGTCCTGTGCGGAGCCCCGGCCGAGACCCCAGCCCTGAGCGCACCGTAATCCAGCGGGAGCGGGCACCGTGCCTCCTGGGCTGCACCTGCTTTCCCACGGCCTTCCCGCGCCGAGCCTATCCCTCTTGAGATGCAAACATCCCTGGCAAACGCGAGAGGAATTGGGAGCGTAAGATGGCACACACGGTCCTCAGCTTCATCACAGGCCCGCCGAAGTGCAGCCCAGGAGCCGTGTGAATGGTCTCTGTGTTTGTGATATTGTTCGCATCCGAGGGAAACGGTCTACTCTGCAAGGATGTGATGCGACTTTTAATGGTGGGCAACTTAAGTGTAAAAACGCTTGGTGCTTTATAGGTACCCTGCTCTACCGAGCCTCAGTCCTCAGACGCAGGAGCTGCATCTATCAGCTTGTCCTTCAATTTAAACAAAAAACCCCTTCCTGTGTCAATTTTACATTTCAAAGTCCACCTGCTCTACCTGGCTGTTTGGTACATTATGAGGTATCTTGACATGAAGCAAATTGGAAATTCCTGAGTGAACAAAAGTTAGAGGAGGAAGTGCCGAGGTGCTCAAGCAGTCGGTTGTGTTTGGAAAGCAGACTGCTGTTGTGTCTTCTTATGCAAGGCCAGCATCTTTCAGAGTACTGCAGAATTTAAATACAATAGAAATTGGTTCATTAGGAGAAGGATTAACTTTGAGTGACAGTTCTTGTTAAACGGACTTTTGGTATCACGGGAAGAAACAAGTTCCATGTGCTGAGCTCTACCAATAAAAAACTATTTTAGGATTGTCCTAGGGAAAACGTTAAAGATTTTAGTCAGCTGATTTTCATGTTATTGAAAGAGCCTAAGTGCCAGGAAACAACTGTAATGGTTTCTAAACTCATACACATGCAAACATGCACAAACGCACTGATACACATATGCAAGACAAGATGCTAATACAAATAGATAATATATTTGAGACAAACTCCAGCTCCAATCTCATTTTGCAATTGGTTTAGTTTCTCAGTAGGAATAAGAATAATACAATATTGCATAGCAAAATGTGTAGGTATTATTATAATATACAGTATAAAGCCAGTGCTTGAAGGACTGCAGTAATGTGTGCTTGGCTTTCTCTCAAGCTGGTAGGTAGACATAACTCAGTTGTGTTGCTTCTGAGTACATGTGAATTTGCAGCAACTTCCATATTCCTCCTCCATCCTTGTTGGGACCAACTTTTGAGCAGTTTGGTGCTTTTTTAATCATCAGGTGCTCAGCTGTGGCCAAAGACTTTCTGACAAGGCTAAAGGATTGCCTCTTAACAGCTGCTAACATAATTACCTGAAAATTAATTTTTCAGGTGCTGGAAAAGCTTTAGTTCAGTGTGTTCACTTCCTTACAGGGTTTCTTTAAGAATTCCCTTTTACTTGTGCCATGAACAAGTTACCCATCGTGAACACACCCACACTGAAGGACAAGCACAGCATTCACAGATGGCACAAGTATTTCCTAGTTTTCCACAGTAAATTACTACACAGAGAGAATCTGGACCTGACATGGTCATTATGCTGAGAGTTAACTTTCACTTCCAGTAGGTAATACACAATAATATTTTAAAAGGTGAATGATAAACATTTAGAACAGATCACCAGTGAATATGTTAGACTCTCCATAATTTCAAACCTTTACGTCATGAATTTACTCTCCTTAAAATGTGACCACAAATGTCTGCACTAAGCAACTCATCTGCAGTTTTATGGGCTGTAATACAGAGATAATAAGGATGGATTAGAAGATTTGTCTCTGGCCTTTTATTGTGTGCATACCTGGTCAGAATAAAAATTAATTTATAATATCCGTATATGATAATACTTTACACCTGCTTTGAACAGATGTCAGTGATTTAGAAAAGACACAGGACAGAGGCCAAGTACTACAAATCCCTTCTGGTTCTTGAACTGAAGAATGGTTGGTGAGAAAGCTCTCTATAGCCTAGAAAATACCCTACTGTGGTAGGGTGACACTGTTCGTCTTTGCTTTCAGTTGTCAGGAAAAGATGTTCTAGCTTGCACTGTGACAAACCAATTCACAGAAATAAATTTTGAAATAAATCTGTCAAAAAAATAATTCACTAGCTCTAAAAACATGATTTGTTTTACTGTTTCCTCTCTCTCCTGTATGAAATATAAATAACCCACAACATGACTAAGTAGCAAGCAGACATGAAAAGGACTTGTAGTTAGCATTGCAGATTTCTGTTTTTTTAAAACTATTCTTATTGATGACTTAGCAATGAAAATATGACTCATTTTCTTTGCTATACCGTACAGTAAATTTTTAGTGGACTTACATAAAGCTGCTCTTTCATTACACAATATTGTAATTATATACTTGTACTTTTATGGAATATTAGCAAATCTTGATGAGAAACTGGTCCCTGTTTAGTTACTGTGTTAACGTTTTCCCCTCGTGATAAGCCTTTCACTTTTTTTTTTTTTAAATTTCTTTAGTTCAACTTTCTTTTCTCACCTGATGTTAAATATTTTCTTCTAATCTGCTCTTTTTGTCAATTGTTTAATTTTTTCCTCAGTCTAAATGAACTTTTTCTCAGTGTTGAAACTGTATTTTCCTTTGTATTGTGACAATCTTGTTAATTTCCACGGTGAGTCATTCCACATCTCCTTCAGCTTTTTTTTTCTTTTTCCTAGCTTACTTTCAATGCTTTTGGGGTTTTTCGCAATAGTGTCAATTCTTGTTGCATTTATCTTCCTCTCTTGTGGGAAATGTTTTCATTTTCAATGCTGTCTTTGATATTTGTCAAATCCTTCTTTGAGTTTACATGCAGCTTCTATCTTCCTTCCTTCCTATTCTTCCATATTTTAAGTGAGTTCTATTTTTTACACTCCATCTAGTGTTATTTTCACTTTTTAAAATTGGTCTGAAGCATTACTTTCTGAATTCAGTTGCCTCAAAGAACACAGAAAGACAAGAAAAAGGGTGACTTTGAACCTCTTATTTGTCCCTTTGCTAAACAGATGTAACTGAACTGCTTTTCAAAGCTAAACCCAAAGATGGTAGATGTGTATATTTTCTTCTCAGAAAAAGATCCAAACTTCACAGTTTGATAGCAGCCAGGTGCCATCAGACTCTGGGAAGGGCTGGGCGAGAGACAAAGTCTATTTTACTTCTCAGTAAGGAGCAGTTGAAAAAGCTGAACTGTTAGATGCACTAAAGAAAGCAGGGTTTAAACCTGTTTTTTCAGACAGCTATCTGTCTGGCCTAGCCATGGAGAAGGCTTCAACACCATGTCTTCTGGCAAAGCAAATGATCTAAATGAAAGGTTTGTGGACTAGAAATCTTAGATATCTGTTTCTGCCAGCTTTGTCAGCTGATTGTGAAATAAAACTCCCATCTCTTTACAAGCTCTGTCTCTTCTGGCAAAACCAATCTGTACCTAACTGATTTGTTCAGTGTCAAAACAGCTGCCCCTTGCTAAGTCTCCCGAAGAATGTACCAATACAGTGGTTACAGAGTATTAGAAAAAAGCAATGATGGACTGAACTGCAAACTTTGAACAAGATTTGTTTTATATATATGTATGTACATGAGCACTGAGTCAAATTTGTCTGCATTCCTTCATGCTCATTTCATTCATCCTCATGATCACAATTTACCTCTCTGCTAT